TCCAAGAGTGTAATCTTAGGCATGAATTTATAAAATTATTTTATGGAAGTGTTATGAAGCTCTCCAAAGAATTAAACTACCAAGCCAAATCTATTTGCAACTCAATGTCGCACAAACTCATTTCATTCCATTCTGTTTCATTTTCAAAATTTGTATAGGTTTTCATAGGTATTACAAATAAGAGAGAGAGAAAAAAAAAGAGAGATAGAGATAGAGAGAGAGAGAGAGAACTAAATCATTAAAAAATACATGAAGATATGTAATATCATAAGTTTTGTATAAATGGTGGAACCATACATAAAAATTAACATACAATGATTTTGCTCTAGCTAGGCAACTTATATTTTTCCTTCTTGGCCATACCATCATGCTTAACATATGCTAATTAGCTTGCTTGGAACACATTACATTCTTTCTTGGCTAATCCACATTTTTTGGAAAATGAAAATTATGTCTTCTTCCAAACTCTTAAGAAGCCTTTAAATTTTTCTTTTTTGGAAAATAAAAAAATTAAAATTAAAAATTTTTAATTTCTTTTTTAGCTTTCCTCGACCATCCATGAAAAGTATGGTAACTAATGAATTTCATTTTCAAGCATGGCATGAGTATTAATAATAAATTATCAAAAGTAATTTATAATAACATAAAAGAAGTTCTCATAATAATAACTCTAATACACATAATTTATTTTCATAAGTTTTCAACAACTTCTAATGATTTCATACTTTTCATACTATCCATACGATATAAATGTTTTCATAAATAATATATATTTCTTCTACATAAAAAAATCCTTCTAGGGGTTTATTATATTCATTATAAGACACTTGTTGTACACATTTCTTATTAGATTAGAAATTTAAAGCAACCATACAATAGTAAAATATTAAAAAATTCAATAATTTTTTAGTGATGTATATAGGTTTAAGTCATAATTTAAAAAAATATATTTAATGAATTAGCAATAAGTGCTATACATTGTCATATTAAGCTATTGATTTTCTTAGGGCCCGTTTGAGGCAGCTTATGTGATGCGATGATGTTTTGAAAACACACATTAGGGCCCGTTTGAGGCAGCTTATGTGATGCGATGGAGTTTTAAAAACACACATGACCTGTTTGGATAAATTGTGTTTTGGTAGCTTATGCGTTTTCAAAACGTTGAAAACAGCGTTTTCACACTGCACCTATCTAGGTACAGTGACAGCTTTCTGACAACGGTCTTTTTCACACCGCATCTATCTAGGTGCAGTGGCAGCTTTCTGACAACGGTTTAGCTTTTCCAAAAAAAACAAAAATTTGTAACAATCACCGCACTTGGATTATCAACAGATTATTTTTCAATCAGCTTATCAGCAGATTATTCAATAAACTACAACTACCCCAAACATGCCCTTAATCTCTTATAACATTAAATTATACTATTTATTTTTAGTTTTTTTTTAATGAATTAAGCGGCTTAGAGTATTTTTTTTTTTTTTTAGATATTTGAAATGCTCACTATAAGTTAATGTTGAAGTTCGCAAAATAAATCACGAGTGTGGAGTTTTGTTCAACGCATTGAGTGAAATGGAATTGTCAATATTAATTAAGAAGTGGCTTTGAATCTAGACAAAATTAATTTATTCATGTGGGTTGAATGTATTGAGCTTGTGAAATTAATGGTAATGAATTTTAATGTGCAAAATTTAAATTGCACATTCGTAATTACATTTATTAAAATAATAATGACACTTTAATTATTGGAAGCTAATCTTTCATAATCAAGAGGCTTAATATTATTTTTAAGTTTGGTAAGAAAGGAAAAAATGTCCTCTTTAAAAATATGGCAATAAGCTCTACTATAATATATTTGAGAGGTCATAATAGGACCATAATAAATTTTCCCACAAAAAAAAGAACCCATAATCTTACCTACGAAAGCCTGATGCCTACAGTCATCACCATTATTTATGCCTTCCATCACCAATAAACTTAATGCTAGCCCTAAAAACGCCATTACCTTTCTTCATCAATCCCAGTATTGATGCTTGTTGTTGCTAACAAAATCACACTCACTATTAATATTGACAGATATCAACCATTAACACCAACACTTGCTAACAAAATCACACTCACTATTAATATTGACATTCGAAGATGCCAACAAGATCGACATCAACCATTAACACCAACACTATCATGAGATATCGACACCTGCTCTGATTCCTGCTTTTGTGGAGAGGAATGCATTGGTTGTAAGTTGTTTTTACTCGGCTATCATTAGATATCAACACCTGCTCTGATTTCTGCTTTTGTGGAGAGGAATGCTTTGGTTGTAAGTTGTTTTTACTCGTTATTGCTACTTGCATCATTGGTTTCCATAGATTTCCATGTGCTATTTCTTTTCATCATGAGTAGCTAAATCTCTTTTGTCTTTT